AAGTAAAAACTAACAAAGTAAAACTAAGGAGAATGGCTAAGAAAACCTAACATAGTTATTTGCCATCACACGCAATTCTCTAGACGTTTCCGGATGCAACGCACACTGGAGGGAAAAGTCGCCAGTACTGCAGCAGGTAAATTGTTCCAGTCAGTTACTGTCCGGTCGGCAAAAGAGTATTTACCTACGTCGTTTTTTGATTCCTATATTTGATTTTGTATGGATGATCTCCTCTTCTGAAATATTGAAGAAAATGAATGGAATGGGAAAAGAATGAAAAGAAAAGATGATCGTGATTGTTAGAATTTTTCGGCCTCATTCACACGAATAGAAAACAAATACAAAAACGACTCCACAGACTCGGAAACACTCCCACAGAGAGCGACTGAATTGACCTAGCTTTTTGGCTTGTCGAAAATTTACCGTTAGCACTCAGACCCACGAACTCACTGAGAGTCGCTGCAGTGGCAACAGATGCTGCTCTGTTTAGTTTTTGCTAAACAAATCCATTCGTATTTAGAAAAGCCCTTGATAATTTTTACTAACCCCAGAAAAGACAAATGGGTCGATACTTCTTAATTGATTTTTGTTGCATTGGGCGTGTAACACTACGTTTAATAGTATTTCGACGGGGATTGAGGAGTCAGGGAAGTTGGATGTGCTCGCTGGAGCGCTGAGTTTCCCAGGCAAAAATGTAGCTCATGAGGACTTAACGGGCCTGGTTTCATGAACTATATAGGAATGCCGCGAGGACTAAACATTGCAGCTGGAACTCGTGGGTCACAGTGACGCCGAATGACCTTCGCAAATCCCTGCGGCAGATGCCGACGAAGCTGCGCCGCCTGCAGTCGTGGCTGGGGAAGATGGATCGGCACGTACGGAAGGCCGTGGACGAGACCTTGAGCGACGAGCTGCTAAACGTGCTGCACGACTTGATAGACGCGATGCAACAGCGGCTGAAGGAGCGGCTGGAGGCAACGCTTGCTGCCGCCGAGGAAGGGTTGGACCGGCGTGTGCGAGACATACTCTATCCACAGCCGGGAGAAGGTGAGCTTATAGCCCCTTCGCATTTACATCCTGTATCCTAACGCAACGTTCGCCCCGCTTCTCTCCTCGCATCTCTTCGCGCTCCTGTGGAAGAAATCTAAAAAGAGATACTTTTATGTAATGGCAATCTAAAATATGTTTGTCAAATTATTTGACTATCCCAGAAGCTTGCAAAAAATACAGTAATAAAATGTTTAAAGGTAATAAAAATTTGTACGGTAGAGTCGTTTCAATGCAAGTTAGAATAAACGTTTCGTGTTCTGCTGACTTACTGTTCGTACCTTGCACAATAAAATAGTTTACAATATATAAATTCAATGATAACGGTAAGACAAAGGTAGACATTTAAAAAATAAATCAATTAATGGATCGTATATTAGACGTTATCGTGTCATCGCATTAGACGCATCGTTAATGAAAGTAAAATATGGGTGTCAAATGTTTTGCTACAGGAGTTACGTTGAAACGGTATAGAAATATCTACTGGTTCCTTACGAAGTACTAAACGCATAATTTCACTGGTCACAAGCAATCTTGCAGTTTTCTGACTAAGTGATGTTTTTTTACGCAGAGCCTGAAGAATGTCAGAGAGACGAGACAACGACGACGGCTCCATCTCGCCCGACCAACCACAGATCTACGCCAGC